CTGACAAGGAACCAACTAATATCCAAACCAACATAAATTTTACGGTGAACACGATAAGCAAAATCACCAAAAACAACGAAATAGACCCAATAAGAGCTGATAAGACACGAACACAAAAATAAAATAGTCACTAGGATATACTCCCAAAAATCCTCACCAAGGAGGCACTCATAAAAAATACTAAAACTAAAAAACAAAATCGTGGCAATCCATGAGAAGAGGAAGGAGGAGGGCTTGTAAAACGGGAGAAAGGTTGCCACGTGCTTCAAGTTGAAGCAAGGGGCCGACGACTAGGAATGTAGGATTTTGGAATGGGAAGGAGAACAATGGCTGCGAGGGTTTTTTTATGAGTAGTTCAACCGCATTATATAGGTTTCATTTCTTTTTTGTGTTTAAGATAAAAGGGAAATACATAGGAGAAATGAGGGGTATGAGAAGTGGAAGAAGAATGATCAGAGAGATGTAAAGAAATGTATAAAAAAAGAGATACAAAAAGAAAACTTAAAACCAAAAAATGTTTTAATTTCCTTTTGCTGACCATGTTAAGTTATATTAACTTTCAAGTTGTCCGGCTCCACATCATCATTACGGAACAACTCTACCAGCCAAAGTTGTCGGCGTCTTAAATAGCGAAATTCCACCAGCATACAACGGTGTTTTTATCTATGCATTACATTGCAAGCAGCTAACAGACTACTGCTACAAACAAGGAGATGAAACCGATGAACTGTTTCTGGAACTTATTCTAGGACTTGCTCACCACCTTTGTATGCGTCCTCATATCGTCATGCCAACAAACAAGAACATTTTCGATTACGTTAAGAGAATCCAACAGAAAATACATTTACTATACAGCAACTTGTGCACATTAATATCATTGCTATTATAAAAGAAAATGGATGGTTGGGTTCATAGATGAAAACTACGTACACTCGAAAATGAAAAAAAAAACCTACAAGAATGATCTTATCTGCACGATCTTGCTATTTAAGACTTCTCCAACAGTTTAAATCTCCTCTGATCTCTTTAATAGTCACCGCAGCATGGGCTGCGAAGGGAAGCTTCACCACCCCGGGGCAGTTTCTCAGAGCATCCCCAATCAGAGGCTCTATATAGGGCTAGAAAAGTGGTAGATATAGCCCAATTTAGAGCTCTGAGGAATCTTTGGGGCTCTGAAAAAAAAATCTCTCTCAATGAGGGACTATACATCTTTTGGGCTCTATATGGAGCTATATATTTTATTTATGAGTGATTTGATTACATGGTAAATTTATTTTGTCTTAACTTTTCTTAACTTGATTTTTGAACGTGTTATTTAACCTAAAAAAATTCAAATTCTGACAAAATTAAATTTCATCACTTATGCACTGTTGTAGGCTCTTTTATCTCAATCTCATCCGTTGGTTTGTTTCTATGAAATCAGACAAGATACAATTTCATTTCATAACAACCATTGGATTTGATTATCTTATCTCAATCTCATATGTTGGCTTGTTTCTATGAAATCAGACAAGATACGATTTCATTTCATAACAACCATTGGATTTGATTATCTTATCTCAATCTCATCTGTTGGTTTATTTCTCTAATTGACACATACTCCGAAAGAAAACAAGATTTTCATTTCATAACAACCATTGGACTGGATTATCTTATCACAATTTAGTTATGTTATTTGTTTATATATTCGGTTTAGCTCTCTAAACTACCAATATTAAGTTTCATCACTATTTTATGAATTTTTCAATCTAGAAAATTAAACACAAAGCACTGCATTTTTTTTTTTCTAATCAATCACACAAAAAATAGTCGTTGTTTGAATGTGTTTTCTTAATCAAACAAACGGTTGAAAATAAAACCTTAAAATCCTAAATAGTTGAATAATAACCTTAAAATCATGTTTTGGAATTAAAAATGGGGCTTACCCATTTCTAAACTAAAAAACAAACAAAAAACCAAGATTAGGCCCTCAATTTGGTGTGGGTCACCCTACTTTTTGGGGCTAGATGTAGCATAACTTTTTATTACCCAATGATTGAAGTTGCTAGCCTACGTTGTGGATGTAGCCTCATTTTCCAGCCCATTGGGGATGAAATTTTTCTTTAGAGCTACAAATGCGATAGCCTCAAGGGGGATAAAGCCCCCATTGGGGATGCTCTCACCACTATCCTCTCTAGAGCTAGCATTTTCACTCCCAGAAAGTAAATGCGAGAGCCTTCTTTGAGCGTACTAAATCAGGCTTTCAATGAAAGCACCAATTTGTGATAGCAAAAATGTGCCGTTTTTAGTCTTGACGAATTTGTTCTTGCAAAACAATAAACACCTTTGATCAAGGACCAAAGTCACACACACCCACGAGGTTGGGAAGGGGTTGGTGGGTGTTGTCAATGGATCTCCAATGCCTACGTCAGTATCTCCGAAAAGGAGTGTTTAGCGTGTGTATGTGTAGTCAAAAGTTACCATAATATGGTGGAGATGAGGTATTTGTAGGGACACAGTTAGCCATGGCAAGGTTCTGCCCTACACATGGCGGCTTTCCATTGGTAAAGGTAAATCATATGCAGGAATGGATGAGGAAAGAATAATCTTGAAGATATTAATTAGAAGATAATATCTTGGGATCATCAAGTAAGTATCCTTTATTTGTTTATGATGAGAATTCCTTACTTGTTTGAGTTGATCGTCAGTCAATAATGTATTGAAGATAATATTTTGTGATTAATTCTCTTCTTATGCCTTTGATTTTTCCATGCTAAGAGCAGAGCAGTTTGATGATGTCGTAGTTAGTTGCTCAAGCCTCTAGGGATTTTTGAACTGCAAGTGGGAATATTTGTTGGCCCAACTTATTAAATTAGGGCAATCTTTTCTTCTTCGGGAAAAAATCCACGTGTCGTCTCCAAGATTTTTGGAATTATTTTTTGATCCATGAATAACCATTTTTTTGTATTTATTTTTAGTTTTCTTAGACGAAACGATATCGGTTTATTATTATATATATATATATATTAATAATTGATACAAACTTTAACTAGGTTATTCTAGATAACGTTAATAGGTCCTCAATCCAAAGAAACTTCAACAAAACATAAAATGCCAACTTGGCCTAGTTGCCACCGTACTGGTGGATTTGAGGGCCAAACATGCTCGGGAATAGGCAAAAGAAATCATCCAAGTTTTGAAATCATCCTTACTCAAACTTCGAAGATATAGATGACACTCTAAAACCTAATGAACTCCATTCTCAATATAAGAGTCAAACACATCATATTTTGGAACTTGAGAAATTCTATGCACAAAAACTGCAATATAACAAACATGAGGACACCTTTTGACAACGAATAGTGCTCCGAAGAGGAATTAACAAGGAACCAACTAGTGTCCAAACCAACATAAATCTTGTGCTCAACACCATTAGTGAAACCACTAGAAACAACGAAGTAAACCATGAGTAGTTGATAACATGTGACACAAAATTAAAATAATCACTAGAATATACTCACAAATATCCTCACTAAGGAGGCACTTATAAACAAAAAATACTAAAGCTGAAAACAAAATTGCCCAATCCATGAGAAGAAGAATGAGGAGGACTAGGAAAACGAGATAAGAAAGGCTACCATTGGCCCCAAGTCGAAACAAGGGACTAGCAACTATGGAGTTTTTTGATATAGGGTTTTGGAATGGAAAGGAAAGATCGTCTTAGGTTTTTTTTTTAATGAGTAGTTCAACCACATTATTTAGTTTTTAATTTTTGTTGTTGTGTAATAAGATAAAAGTGAAAACATAGGAGAAATGAGAGAAATGAGGGAAATGAAGGAAATAAGGGAAATAAAATTCGAAGGAAGAATGGTCAGAGAAATTAGAAGAAATGTATAAGAAAAGAGATAAAAAAGAAAACTTAAAATCAAAAACTATTTTAATTTATTTTTACTAACTATGTTAAGTTATATTCACTTTCAAGAGTTTGTTTTCATCACTTCTTGTTCGTTTCTTTCCTTCATTTCTTCCATTACCCTTTTTCATTCTTCATTTTCCTCGTACACTCATATCTTAAGCACAGAAAGTGAAGAAAAAAATGATTACCAAACATGCCATTTGTCTTTCAGACCAACTAATTAGCTTAAGCCAACTTCTCTAGTATCATGCTGATAATAACCTTCAAATTCCACAGGGTTTGTTTGTTGTACTGAATAGGCTTGGCTTTGGTCTTATTTAAGGCTCACATTTTAAATGGCTTAGAATAAGACCTGCTAGCAAAGGTGTAATGCTAATTAATCTAATTCTTAATTAACTTCATACGTGGTTTAGGTTGAGACTGGAGTTAAATAGCCTAATCTTAGTCTTAGTCTGTTCAATTAAACACCACCTAAAATTTCTTAATCTATGCGTGTGAGACAAGAGTAAAGCTACATATGTGAATTAGGCTAGCCGGTAAAATAGTGCGTGTGCTCCTTTTGCAGTAAAGTTCAAATTCTCGATACTCATATATTTAAAGTAATTTAAAATATTTTCTTGTCAACAAAACAAACATGTAACATAATTTTTTTCCTTTTAAAGAAAACGCACACACTTTATTTATCATCTCAAAAGGTACAAACTAGGGAATCCACCAGTATTACAGAACAAGTTTACCAGCCAAAGTCGGCGTCTTAAATAGTGAAATCCTACCAACAGACAACGATGTTGTTGTCTATGTATTACATTACAAGCAATAACAGACTGCTGCTACAAACAAGGAGATGAAACCCGTGAACTGTTTCTGGGACTTATGCATCCTCCCATCTTCATGCCTATAAACAAGAACATTTTGGATTACGTAAAGAATCCAACAGAAAATACATTTATTATACAGCAATTTGTGCACATGAATATCATTGCTATTATAAAAGAAAATGGATGGTTGGATTCATAGATGAAAACTACGTAAACTCGTAAATGAAAAAAACCTACAAGAGATGAGGCTATGAGACAATTTCTTTACCTATTTAATCCTCCATCGGCTACACTGCGGTGTCTGCACACGCTTGGAATCGTTGCTGAAGACTGATCTTATCTGCACGATTTTGCCATTTAAGACCTGTCCACCAGCTTAAATCTCCTCTGATCTCTTTAATAGTCAATGCATCACGGGCTGTGAAGGGAAGCTTCACCACCCTGGGGCAGTTGCTCACCACAATCCTCTCTAGAGCTGACAGTTCCGCTCCCCTTGAACAGATAGTACTTAAGCTTTCCATATCCCTGACTTCTATGGTTTTCAACTTTGGAATCTTTTCATAGAACTCTCTTGCGATAACCTGCTTCATCCTCCTGCAGTCACTCACCTTGATTTCTTCGAGGTTTGAAACCAGTCGAAGTAAAGAAAAAGATATGAGGTTCTTTAGAAGTCGACATCCCTCCACCTTGATGGTCTTTAAGTTTCCAAGGGATCTTCTGGGGACTATATTGTCCAACAAGGTTGCTAAGTTATCCAGATGACTCAGAGTTAAGTGCTCCAAATTTGGCAATGTGCTCCGAATTGTTGTTTCGCCGACTAACAATGTAGTTATGCAGTCACAATTTGATATGGTGAGCGACTTCAAATTTGGCAAGCCACACACACTCTTGTTAGTAATTATATCAGATAAACTACTTATACCTCCACATGTGAACAACTCCAGGGCACTTGCTGTGCACAATAGCCCCTCTAAGCCTCGTTGCAGGAGGTCAACCCCTCGAAGGATGACTCTTTTCTCATGCTGAGTCGGTAGATAGATTGAATTTGGACCAATCTGTATGGTGTACTCCTTCAACCTTCCAAACCATGGACCGGCAGAGTCTAAGGCAACGCAATCAACTGTGTTTAGCCTTATGTGAACAACAGAAAGTCGCGGCAAGGATAATAACTCATCAAATGCTGCTCCTCTTCCTGCATTACGCTTCACATCCCAGTTATAACCACTGAAAGACATGTCTAAGACTTCAAGACTAATTAATCCCAACATGCTTCCATGTGCGATGACTTGTAAAAAGCGAGTGTGTGACAAATTGAGATCTCTCAGATGAATCAGCTTGCCCATGTCTTTCGGAAGCTTTCTTATTCGAGTTCCATAGAGATCGAGCACTTGAAGTTTATAAAGAGCTCCGAGTGGGGGTAGGATTTCTAGAGCACGACAGTCTCTTAAGAGAAGAGTATTTAGCTCCCCTAGCTGAAGAATAGAAGAAGGCAGGGAAGTTATTAGAGTGCTACTTAAATTCAAGAATCTTAGCACTCTATGTTCTCGAAAGAAACCATCAGGGATTCTATTAAAAGGATTACAATGCAGGAACAACACAGTTAGGTCGGATCCCCCAAGCAATTGAGCTGGCAAACTCTTGATGGAATTGCTCATAAACGAAGCTCTTCTGACCGATTTTTTCAGCTTTAGCATTCCTTGCACTGGGCTGCTGAAAAACCCTGTTTCTTTCTTATTTGAGGATATCCAAATGGCAACCTCCCTCAATATACTGTGCATCTTTACGGTGCCAATGCCTTCACCCTGTTCTAACATGCAACAATCCTTCAAATATTCAAGTTTAGCATGCCCATCATTGATGGACTCCTCTAAAGTTTGACGTTCCCCAATAATTCCATCAGATAACCATAACAATATTAGTTCCCTTATCTGAATTGAGAAATTTTCCGGGAACAGCGAACAAGATAAGAAGCACGACTTATAAATCTTACTTGGCAGTGCATTGTAGCTCAATTGCAACCGCAGATACACCTTGTCCAAGCTCCCGAAGTGTGGTTCGGAAAGCCTCAGTTGGCAGAGTGCATTCCTCCATAGCTGTATCATTGTTTTGTCTCTCATGGACTTCCCCATAGTCTCGATAGCCAGAGGCAAACCACCACATTCCCTAGCAATTTCTTTAGCTAGAGGATTTATGTCTTCTAACTCCACTACATTTCCTGCATTCTGAGCAAATAAACTCCAGGACTCTTCTTCAGTCAGAAGTTCCATCTTTAGTGCTTTATCGGTCATCATTTCCCTACACACATCAAGATTTCGCGTTGTCAAAACGATCTTACAATTTGCTTGGCCATCGCCTTGTGGTATCCCCACGCTGTGCAAATCAATTTTCTCCCAAACGTCATCCAGAATGAACAGGAACCTGTAGTATATAATCATCATTGAGCTTTGCCATCATGAATTAGGAAACCAAATTCTGTAACTAAAATTAACAGGAACATAATATTAAAGTGAATATATAATCAAGACCAGAAATGAAGTTAACGTTAACCTTACCTCTTTCCGGACTTCAATACTTGCTGCAGTTTGCTAGCTCTACGCTCGATGCTCTCTTCTGCATTCAGTGCTAAATTCAACCTCTCAGCAATTCGTGATTGAACCTTTTTCATATCCAGGTCATTTGACACAGGGACCCAAATGACCATATCAAATAACTCCCTGCCAGAAGATTCAAGCTGATTATTCAAGGTTTTCACTAGAGTAGTCTTCCCAGAACCGCCCATTCCATAAACAGAAATCCTTGTGATCTCTTTAACAGCCAAAAGTACCATAAGCTGCTTTAGGATCTCTGGTGCTTTCTGACCAACAAGAGATGGCGCCAGAATATGCTCAACAGCTATATCACTTGGCTTCCTATCTTCCATAGGTGGAAGATTGCACGACTCCTCAGTAAGTTTTCTCACCTCATCACACTTCTTTGCTGCAGCTTTGCTAAGTTGGTACTTGCGGCGCATGTTAGAGTCAAGCATACACCCCAGGCCACAGGGAGCATCAATGGGATCTGCCTCCAAAAATAGCCTGGATTCATGTTCAATCCCTTCCACCTCACGTTCGATCTTCTCCACCATTTCAAGCCAATCCATAACTTGCCAAGGGGGGTGCTTCCCTTCTAATCTTGATAAATTGACCTCTTCTATTCTTCCATCCTTGCAGCGAGAGAGCTTCTGCCACTCATACTTCAAAGTTTGGATGTTTTTCTGGAACTTTCTCAGGGTGGAAAGCAGCGACAACGTGAAGTTGCCGACACACCTACTAACTTCAATGATAGCACCCACAATTTCTTCCATGGTTTCACAATACTAGTACTTGGTTTTGTTTTTTTCTTTGGTTTTTCGGGGTTCCAAAGGGACGAAAGGACAATAGAGGGCGGGTAGATACACCATTGGAGTTTTGGGAGTAAATACTGTATTGGAGTTATGGGAGCTCAGTAGTTGGTTTGAGATTAGGATATAATCGTTGTCAAGCATATGGCTTTATAGCCAGTTTTTCTTTGGCCGTAATGTATTAGAGTCTCAGAAACCTAGAATAAGCAACACAAAGAGAAATGAAAATCATCGAGGGACGATAGGAAGCAAGGAAAGAGAAGGACACACGAACAAGAAAAAAACTTGTTTTCTATGACATCTGATATAAAGTTCAAACTGAGGAAAGTGTGATTAAACTTCCTGCTCGACCTTATTAACTCTTCTTAGTTTACAACAATGTGAAGCATGTCTTTGTTTTACCCGGCTTCCCAATATTCAAACAAGGACAAGTCGAGTATGTATCCCAGGTTCCTACGGCAACAGACAAATATGTTCTCCATCTCCTAGTGGAAATCATGAAATTTGTCCATATTACTTCCCGTCCATACTGTGGGAGATGTGGAATGGTGTCCCGAGACTGCGACAGAATCATCGGCAGTGCATATAAATCGTAAAACTAAGTAACCATAAGCCAAAATTTTCCAGGTTTATTGGATGACTGATCCATCATATTTCTGGTTGTTGAAATGATTGTAGCTACACAGCACCAAAGAGACACCAGTGTAAGGACATGCGTCTTTTTTTGGACCGGTCTCATGCAAAACAAGGATTAGATGTAGTTCCCCAAACAACAAGAGCAGCTTAAATATCATATATAGAAGAAAACAAACCTTCACATACAGTTCAATGAGTGCATAGTTGCTCAGTGGTGGTGAAAATCGCTAATTTCCATTAGATCAGTTTAAATTCCAAGACTTGTGTAGAAGATATATTAAATCATACTCATCTAATGACTACATGTTGGTGAGCAAAAATGCACTCTAGAACAATTGGTCTTGATTAAGTTTCTTCTTCGAAATGGGGTTTTAAGTGTTTTTACTATGAAAGGAATTCTTAGGGGCTTATATTAATAACAACCATAGGTTCAAGTTCAACCCTAATATAAACTCCGAAGTCCACAACTCATTTATCAGCAAACTACTTGTACCACTTAGTTGAAACCTGAATTATGTCCTAAGTGTTGAGAATGAGTCCCGCATTAAGGGGAGGAATGATCTTGCATGGGTTTATAAGAGGTTGGGCTACTCACCATATTGCCAACTGGTTTTATGGTGGAACCTCAACTTTCTTCATGGTATCAGAGCAGGTTGTCTCACGTGTAAAGTTAAACGGCTACACATGCTTCACATCACCTCGTTGTGTTGTCATCATATTAGGCTTGAAAATTCGCCACACGTGAGGGGACGTGTTAAGAATGAGTCCCACATTGATGGGAGAAAGGACCTTGCATGGGCTTATAAGAGGTTGCGTTAATCCCCATATTACCAATTGTTTTTATAGTGGAACCTCAACTTTTTTCACTAAGAAGTTACCCTCCCATTTTTTTTGTTGGAGGAGGATTCTCTCCCATTTTTTATAGAGATAATAAGATAAAAAGCAATGTGTGAGAGGAGGAGAGGGAAGGGGATGAGAATAGAAGGGGAGAATCCTACTCCTTTTTTGTTAGACTTACTACTGCAACTACCAACGACACCCAACTACAAATAAATACACCCAACAAACATGATTTTTGTTAATATTTTTAAGGTTTGAGATTTTCTAGTATGCACCAAATATATAGTTGTACACCTCGGCATCCTTAACCGTTGGATAATTTTTTTATGAGTAGAACACTTGATAATCATTTCATTTTTAATCTTTATTTTTTTTTATTACAAACAATAATTTAACTTATAAGATGAGGGAAGGTTTGAACCGGGACGCAATAGGTTGAAGAGGAAAACCCTAAACACCATACCAATCCACCACTTGCTTCAGTTTCATTTTTTTAGTTCACTTTTTGGTCAGTTGTTGGAAAATGAAAACTGAAAATCATGGCCAAACAAGTTTTCATTTCTTTTTCTACAAGTGAAAAGCGAAAACGAAATGGTTATTAAACGGACCATAAATCTTTAACTACACATTAAACCATATATTAATCCGATACATACAATACACGATAGAACAAAAATAGAATTCATTATGACCCCTATAGAATGTTAAAAATTTGCAAATTAGAACAATACAAAGCAAAAGAAAATAATACAGCTGAACCGGGTCAGTCAACAATGACTTGAAACCGGGATAGCCATAGTCATACCAGAGAACATGTGCAGAAATGTAAAGCAACATCCCAATGCCGTACGTAGAATCCCAATGTCGGGACTTGTCATTTGCAATCAAACACGCCAGCAGCTAGCAGTTTGGATCATGGATGGACCCATTTTGTTCGGAGGAATGTACCGAGGGGTGTAAATGGGGAGATAATATTATTCGTGCTCAAGTTCGAAACCTCATGCTTAAGACCGGCTTCGATAATAATTCAAGCTCGAGCTCGGCTTGACTCATTTGTAAACTAAACATGAGCTTTTGATTGGCTTTTCTCTACTCATTCTTTAAACAAGCTCAAGCTCATGTTTAGTTCGACTTAATTTTCATAAAAAATTAATAAATAAATTAGTAACAAAGTGTTGGTATTAATATTGTAAGTGTATGAGCACAAAATAATAAGATAACTACTTAAAAATGATTGCATATTAAACGTGAGCTCTTGATTGGCTTTTCTCAGCTCATTCTTTAAATAAGTTCAAGCTTAAGTTTAGTTGGACTTAAGTTTCATCAAATTCTAATAAAATTATCATAATACCAAGCTGCTGATATTAGTATTGCAAGGATATGTGCATAAATAATAAGTTGAATTGCATATCCAACAAAAGTATATACGAGTTAGTGGCTTGTAGCTTACTTGGTTAAGAGCATTTGTTTTTGCATCTGAGGTTTCATGTTCGAATCCCCCTTCCCGTAGTTTAAATGTATCTAGTGTAGATTATCCTATCATTTGTTAAAAAAAAAAGATAAAAAGATACGAGTGGTTCATGAGTTTTGTGAGCCGAATGTACCAACATACCAAAGCTTAAGCTGTTGAAGATGTGCCCTAAAGGCTAATCAAGAGATAAAATTTTATAGGCACTTCACATATTAAATTAATTAGTTTGATCTAAGAGCAAAGTTTATTGTCATCTCATTAAATGTTATACGCTTAAATAATAAGTCTTAAGGAACATGTAATGGAGAGGATAGATTCACGAGACTTTTCTTTCTCATACACATATTCTAAATGTTCCTAATTATAGGATTGTTAATTGGGCATTGATAATCCGATAAGATTAGTACATAGTATGTCTTCTCTCTTCAAAAAGCGATTGATCTCGAGTCATTGGAGTAAAAGATAATAAGGCAAGTATGTAGGTGTTTAATAAAGAGTGATTTCACTGAACACGATCAAACAGAAGTTCTTGTACTCATGTGATATGAGGACTCACTAATTAGGATAACGCAAAATTGTCCTTTGACTTGAGACACCACAGTTGTCTTGTTGATATATCTTTGGTAAATCGATGATGCGTCATAAGCCTAGGGTTTGCTTAGGGCATTGTTGGGATATTGATTTATTCACAAAGGCATGTGAATGTACAACAAGAGATCTCTAACTTTCAACTATTGAACAAGAATATTCTATGATATGATTCAAGCGTCTCTGGCCATATCACATGAATATGATTTAGGAAGTGTATTCCAAATCAGATTCAAGAGAATCATAAATAAGAAAATCACATTGAATAATAGATATGAATAAACTATCAACCAAACAATGTGATCAAGAGTATTGATTTAGAGAATGATCGTATTTCATTGTAATTTCAACTGAATAGGTTCTCAGCTTCTTATGCTTATTTGGGGTAGCCATGACATACTACTAGGTATCATTCATGACTTGTGGAAGTCCTGAAGATTAGAAATCACTAATCTTCATTAAAGAGAGAATTGAAAAAAAGATAATTTTCAATTCACAATCAATTAGTAAGAGTTCTAATCGCTAATTGTCTCACTAATTAGAACCTAATAAACTGTACACTGTGTAAGGTAGAGATTAAAGAGTACAATAGAATTGAGTAAGTGCAATTAAATGATTTAATTTTTTATTGCTAGGATTAATTAATAAGTTCATCAATCAAACGAATAGGTTCATATTAGACCTTGAGTTAGTTTGGACATTGAACCATCAAGTTCATTAACTTAAGTTGTATGACAAACTGAAAGTTAAAAGGCATAAAGGCCCAATGGCCAACTATAGAAAGAGGGGGTTAGGTTTCTCATTTAGTCACTCAAGTTTGAGGGACTATAGAAGGGGAGTTATAACCTTAGCCTCACTATAGGGTTTTGTTAGGCAAAATTGTGAAACATTTCTCTCTCATTTTCTCTCTACAAGGCCGGCTTATAGGAGAAGATTCACTAGCATCAATCTTCCTTCTAGGTTACTTATCTCCTCTTCTCATGTCTCCTTAGTAAGGAGAAATTAGAGGTTCCCTCACTTGGAAACTTTGGAGATTCTATTCATCATGAATCCATGGAGAAAGAAGTAAAGGAATGAAAGCTCTCTCTTGGACAATTAGCATTTGCGTATGCAAAGAGAAATCTATAAACGTATAATGGATTTTCAACTCTTTCTTGTAAATTTGAGTTGAGTCATTGTTTACCACACTACTAGGCCTTGAATTTTACGGTTAAAAATTATTTGAGTGCGTATGAACATGCTTCTTGATAGGGATTTTACTACCTGCCAAAGTAGGGATAAAATCACACAAAATACTTGTAAGAGAACAAGGTTGTTGTAGTATAAACGGCTCAAGTAAGGTTGTTTTCCGCTAGGATTATTTAAAACAATTTATGAAAACCCTAATCCTAGTTAATTATCTGAAAGTAAAGATTGGAAAATGTTGATTTCGAATTTAAAAGTATTAAAAAAAATTTAATAA